CGATGGAGAGCACGATAGTGTGCACGCGACGTGGGTGTTCGTCATGGATCGTTTCGCGGATGTTTTCATTATTTCCGTCTCTCACACCGAAGTTCCGGCGCGAATCCGCGCCGATACGGAATATTACGGGGAGGGGGGAAGGGGGGGAGGAAGATCTTGGCCTACTTTTGCGTCCTTACAGACGAACCGACGGGTATTTTTATCTTATCTCATCCAGAATTTTGTAAATACTCGAAACGACTGGACCGGGATTTTTCCATCAGATTTCGCAACGTGATATTCATCACAGCGGGAGTATAATTTAAGTTCTGCAACGAATGAGAACTTCGAGGTAAACGAACGACGGCGACGACATATTAATTGTCCCAGTTAATCCGTCAATAGCGCGACACTCGGATGCATAACGTCATTCGCAGATGCCGAGTGACACGATTGGTCTCACGTGATCGTTGAAAAACAATCCGGACCCGCGGACAGATGGGAAAATATCGTCCATGAGAATTAATACCGGACAATAACGATAAAGCCGTCCGTTTCCGGCGATTCTATAATATTGTATACTTTTGCATCGTTCTTTTTTTGCGCAGTTTTATATTACAGTTAATCGACGGCGCTCACAAATTGCACTGAATACCGGGTTAAAGGATATCACCTTACTCGTCTCGAATAACGTGTGCAATTGGAACCTTTTTAATTGAACGAGTGACGGAAATAAAAATTTTTACGGCTCTTGAACATCAAATGGTATCGTACGTATTTTGAAAAGTTAAAATCCGCGATCGGTTTGCAGAGCCAAGAATATTTGCGAAGACTACGCTATTAAAGTGACCGCAACTAATCAAAATAAATTAGCGTGGAAGGATTAAGTTTAAAAGTGGGAATAATAAGTAGCCGCAATTTGTTAGAAGAGATTAGCGTGAAAGAGAGAATTAAGCACATAGTTAGAAATGAGAATAATAGACTAATTGCGCCGCCGCTCTCACGCTCTAGTTTTTTATTTCTCCCGAATATAAAGCGGAACAATGAGCGGATAAATAAATCAATAAGATAAACATTAATTAGATTTGAGCTGTCGCAGAATGGCACGTGGTATCGTGCTAAATATTCAATGCCACGTCGTTGGCTCGGGTAAAAGTTCCAAAATTATCTTCGGCAAACAACTTGTTGAATACGCTTATGTAAGAAATTGCACACTGATGCAAGATTTACGATACAGATAAATCTCTCTTCTTTTATTTCTCTCTCTCTCTTTCTCTTGTTTATTTTGAAAATATGTCATTGGATGTGAGTCTAAAAGGATTCTTTATAGTACTCGTAATCTTTCTTGATGCTTAATATTTCATTCACAGAAAAAAATGCATAGGGACAAGGAAAGATATATCTATAAAGATAAAGTTTGTTGCTTTGCAAATATTTGCCTCGAATTTTAACGTCTCGGTAAGATTATTTCGAGTATGCCGTAACTGTCGTACTTGAGTGCGTGTCAGAATAGCATCTGATTCTAGATGTTATACGGTCGACAGATAAAAACCTTCATAAAAACGCATCTTTTGACTTTTCTGCCTTTACCGTCTAACCTTCTGTATTTGAATAATTAGCACGCAAGCTATGGTAACCGGTTTTGCATGTATTATGCGTGTACATTGTGACCGACATCTTCACGCATGATCGGAAGACAAGGCTTTGATGAAAAGCGAGACAGTGAGATGATAGAAGGAAAGAACTTCTTTCTCGATAATCTCGCTAATTATTGAGAATTTTATTCTAAGGCATCGGTTATTATGGATTAATAACGATACGAATGCAAAGATCATTAAAAGCAATGATAATTCTGCGTAAGATTGCTCACGCAATGTCAAAATAAACGAAAACGATACACGCCTAGTTTGCTAAATCAAATTCTATTGCGACAGCGGCGATCGCACGAGATACGAAATAAACTTGCAGTTATAGTTTAGTGCGAAGCATGCATTTCCTTATCAGCAATAAGGATAAACGTGTGCAACTTCTCTATCACACAGCTTCGCATTCGCGATGATAAGTACATTTCATTGGCGCGTTTCCACCGGATATGTCTCAAGTTTGCATTTTTTATTTAATTATAAATCAACGACGTAAATTTTGTTAATCAAATATTTTATCTGTACACTGAAAAAAAATTAAATTTTAATAAATATTTGTTTGAATAGTTCGAAGTAAATGTTTACTAAACGTAAACATATATTTATTTAATACAAAAATCATTAATTTGATATAACTATTTTTTTTATTGAGTAAATGTTTATTTACTGTAATAATGTTTATTCCAAAAAATATGTATTAAGATTTAGTAAATTTTTTTAGAGAAATACTTCTTTGTAAATCTATGTTTAGAGCGGAAATCTCCTCTTTTATGTTTTTATAATCGAGAAGTCTCTGTCATTGAACTTTTTTGAAGGTACAATTTAAACGATCCAAGTAGGACGAGTCACGTCAAAGTGACATGAAAATGAACCATTTACTAATTGAACAATGACCTTTAGTAGTTACTTTGAAGCCATTTTGACGTCATTTTGATATCAATGATTTATATTCTACTTGGAAATTCACATAATAGAATCTGTTATAATTCTTTATGGCATGTAGTACTACAAATAAAAAATATTCTACTTGGAAATTCACATAACAGAATCTTTTATAATTCTTTTTGGGGCACGTAGTATTACAAATAAAAGTACTATAAATAAAATTTTCCTGCAAATTGTAACCTGTGTTGTTTAAAAGAATCGCGAGGCGCGCCCCGACGAGATAAGAAGCTCGTCAACAGCTAGCACCACCACAGAAGCTGCATCTTCGCAATTCCCATTACAATTGATCATGATTTCTTATGCGCTGTGCGCGCGGACGCATATCGTCGTCTTCTCCCTCTGTTCCTTATCACAAAGAACGGGCCTAACAATGATTTAATGAGCAGCCGCCGAGCACCCGCTGTTGCTATTATGGAATTCTGTCAATGAATCTCGTTGCCGCTGAATGCGATATATGACGTGGCGTATAATGGATCAACTGCATATATATATGCATATACACACGCAGGGTGACTTCCATTCACGGCGCGAGTACCCGCCGTAGAAATGCGGCTTGCGATTTTTAATGGCGAATCGCGATAAAGTCGTGATGATTAAATTAAGTAAAGTATTGCGTCTCAATTTTCTGACTCAGACTTTACATATGCAAATCAAACTGTTCATGTATTATGTATTCATGAAAACTGTATTAGGTATTCTGTAACATGTATTATGTATTAGGGGAAACTCACGATGTACTATGAGATAAATGCTTTACATGCCTCTTTTCCAATCTTATAATTTATTTTCTAATCGCTGAGATATTTTTTATTATGACAGAAATCTTTCTGCATTTTAATATTAAAAGACTGTAATTTATTATTTATTTTTATAGTATTAAAATATTACTTTTAGTACTTCAAATAAATAATCCATTATTATCTTTCAGTATTAAATTAACTGGATTATTAGATTTCTGTAAGAGTAAACGTCTAAACGATTATTAGTAGTTTAGACGTATTGCGTATTATGATAAAATATGCGGTATAACGATTTTAATCGCTTCAGTGTTTGACGTTTACATGTTTTATCTAAATTATAACTATTATTGAATATATAATTAGTATATCATTAGCCTCTACTATGATTAGATCATAATTCTTTATTACGATTTAATCATTAAACAGCAAATATAGAGTTACAACCTATCCATGGAAGTAAATGATACATTAATACATAATTAGCTTGAAAACGATTTGAATCGTCGTAACTCACGCATATTTTATTACATGATTGTCGCGTGAGCCAAAAATATCGCGGAAATTAAAAAATACAATTAGAAAGAGGAAAAAAGACATGCAACCCACGTGGTATTGTCATGAAAAAAATTGAGGTTGTTCCTCCTACATTATGTATAATTTATTAACAAAATAATTTATTTTATAGTTTTTCATTGGCAGAACTAGTGCGCACTCAGTGCACATTAAAGCTGTTGTACATTATTCTAATCTAAATGTAAAAGTAAGATATATTTCAATTGATAAAATGTCCAATGTTTATTTTATCAAATAGTACAATAAAATGTATTGAATATTTCGCGGTTTAATTCGTTTCTATATTTTTATTAAATGTACATCTATACGCCGATTTGTACAACGATTTTAAAGTGCACTGAGTGCGCACTAGTTCTGCCCATGAAAAACGCTATAAGTTAAGCTTAAAAAGTGAACATGCAATAAATCAATATGAACGATTTTTGTTTTGCCATGTGACAAGTGTATACAAAACGATAATAATTCTTAGAATTAAAAGCTATAAACAATATTTAAGAAAACCTGAAAAATAATATTAATCAACGGATTTGCAAAACAATTTGCGAAATTATATTTTAAATATTAAAACATACATTCGAGTTAATAACATGTTTATGTGAAGAAACTGTCTTTTAAATCGGTTCTTAGAATTGTCATTATCAAAAATTGCATGACACTTTACTTAGGAGACACCAAATTCCAAGAAGAATTGGGTCAGAAGATCCAAGTGGCAGAGAACAAAGTTTATTCGATACACATGTCGCATATGGTTATCAGTAACTGATGATGATAGCTCATCATAATAAAATGTAATTCGTTCCAAACAAATAACCAACTAATTGTGTCAGAATAAGTAGAACAAATCTTTGAGAAAGATATTTGCCCAGATAGCAAAAAGTCCAAAATCTTTAATTTAGACGTTTTCAAGATGTCTTTTTAAAAAAATATCTTTAAGACATCTTTTAAGCATCTTTAAGATGTCTTGTGTCCGCCTAGCACACGAATGCAGATTTGATCAGGTTTAACCGTTCATTAATCAATCGAGTTATTTACAAATTATATGGGTAATTGTTAAAACCTGAGAATAAATATTATAAGTAGAAATAGCGATATCTCACGCGATAAGAGAGATCGTACTTACAGCTCGCTTGCCACTTCCATGATGCGCTTCCTGCGTCCTGTGTGTTTCAATGAGAACCGCGCTCGGCAATCGTTTACATAGAGCGTTCACTTCCAGTTAGCCGGAAGCGGCGGACGTCCCGATGGGGAAGAGACTCGTCGGAGCTGGATCGTCGAGGGGCACTAAGAGCGAATTTGCCTGTCTCTCTCTTCTCCCTCTATCCCTCTCACGGATCGCCGTTTCTTTTTTCCTGAATAAAATGGCACGTCCAAGTGATGATGCTCGCGGCGCGATTTAAGCCGAGAGGGATGAGACGCGATGGAGGACGAAGGTAAAAGAGGTCGAGGATGCGCGCGTTGTTGACGGGGATGAAGGATTAAATGCTCCAACGTTGATTGGCGCTAATCCCAAGTCTGATTCTCTGACTTCCTCTTTCTTCCTCCCACTTAAGTGACAAACAGAATTCTCGGTAATTTCTACGTTCGCGGGTATGCAGAATTCGTGGAATCGCGGTTCAGGCCGATCGGAAACTGACGCATGACGTCGTCGACACGAGAGCGGCTTAACGGCGCGCGCGAATTGGATGGACGCTGGGTATCTCGTTAGCCAGGAGAGGATGTATGCTGATGGGGCTCTCAATCTGTGCCACCTTGGATGGTACGATTAGCTATGGCGATCTCCCCCTACGACGATCTCTTCCTGCCGCTACCGGCTAGTCTATCATCGCGATGTACTGTCACGAATACGCGCGCGCTGTGTATGGCGACTACGACCCCATCGGAAGCCACCGGCCAGGTCCCTATTGTTTGTCGGCGGTTTGTCCACTCGATTGTGATGATCCACCGATACCACACACGGCAGGGCGAATTCTTCACTCGTTTAGGCTCCTGCTCGACGTGCCTCTCGCTCTAATAGCAGACCTTCCCTCCGAGAATGACTTCTCAGCGCTAATTCTCTTTCTAGTCTCTCTCTCTCTCTCTCTCTCTCTCTCT